ATATATATATATATATATAGATTTGATATGTAGATTAAAAAAATAAAAGAAAGCAATTTACAAATAAATATATATATATATATATATATATATATATATATATTTATACTATTCTCACCGTGGGCTGGAGGCCGCGAATCCGGAAGTTACCGTTCTCCTCGGTCGTGGCCTCCTCCTGCAGATTGGAGCAATTCCCTTGGCCCTGAACCTCGACCAATAGACCCACCTCAGGTTCCCCGTTCAAGGAAGTCACGGAGCCGTAGGCGCTATACGCAACTCTATTGCCGAACAAGTGCACTTTGATGGTCTCTCCCTCCTCGACGTTGATCATCTTCGACGGCGGGTCGAAGCGATACTCCTTCATCATCGGCCGGAGGTAATACTCGCCCGGGGACAGCGAGTTGAACACGAATTTGCCGCCCTCGCCGGTTATACTGTTCTTGCGGTAGCTTTGGCCGCCGGACAAAGAAAGCAGCACGCCCTGTGAGGTGCAAGAACAAGCGTAAGTACGGGTGTCACTTTGTCAGTTGTTACTTTGCAAAAGTATGAATATACCACATCTTACCTGCAAAGAGGAATTGTCAGCGCGGTCGGAAACTTCGACGATGATCTCGGCCAATTTGTGCGCCCAGAACACCCCTTTCTTATCGGTCTCAGTGATCACGAAACCTTCCTTCTCAGCTTTCACACTAACAGTACGTAATAATTAATTTGTTCATGACGATGTACGCTCGCGGACAACGATTTGTTCCAACTTAAGCCCTTAAGTGATGCAAGATTAAGTCCGAATCTACAATATATGTAGTAAATTTTTAGCTCCTTTTGCTCCGAGCGCTAATTCACAACGTAATTTCTCTCAAGAAGCGTTTCTAACTCTGTCAGACGTCACGATTCCTAAAATCTAAGCGGTATTACAACTTCTGGCAACGCTGGAAACGCCTTTTGTCAGAATCATATTATATTTTATTGTTTAAAGCTAAATTAAAGCCTACCACACCTTTTGTAGATCCGGATTAGAAAATATCTATTCTATCTAATAGAATCATACACGCTGAACTTGCATCAGACTAGTATTGAAGATCGGGGATTGCAAAATAAAAATTTGAATTCGACGATGAGAACAACTTCAATTATTGTTTACGTTATCCCGATTGGTGCCAATTTTCAATAATCTAATATGATTTTGACATGTACATTCTTCTGGCTAGAACAAGATAGGCATCTTTTAGACCTGCTCCGCTGCGTCTAATTCGGGACGAATCGTTGTCCATGGATGCACAGCAGAGGAAATCATCGCTGACATACCTGTATTCGATCTTCCCGTCGAGAGGACCGACGCTGTAAACGCCGTTCTTCTCCGTGACCAGCGTGTGAATCGGCGACTCTTTATCCTTGCCGAAGATCTGTATCGCCACGCCTTCCAAAGGCGGCACGATTTCCCCAGCTATAATCTGAACAAGTGTCTGTGCTTTAACGAAACGCGAGAGAAGCTTGTTGCGCATTCAATGATAACCAATGATTTTCTACCTTTCCCAGGTCGCCGACGAAACTCGCGATGTCATTATGGCAATCGTTCACGCCGATGATCTTCAAGGATGGCGGACTGAATAGCAGAATGTCCGACAGCGGAGTGATGGTGTACATATTGTCCGTTTTCGCTTTGAACTCGAACTCATACTTGTATACGCCGCTAAGTGGAATGCCGTCCTTCATCACATGCTTCAATGGGCCAACACTATTTCAAACAAATTAAAATGAAAAGAAAAGGGAACACATAAGATATGTTTAAAAAAATAAAAAATCTTTGAGATTTCTAGGAAAGAATAAAAATTATGAAATACCGATTCTTACAAAAATGCTGAGAAGAGAAATTTTTAATTGAAATAAAATATTAATTCTATAAATAAAATAAAATTCTTGTTTTTTTTGGAGATTTCTAGGAAAGAATTATATAAAATACCGTTTCTTAGAAAAATGTTCCAAAAAGAAACTTAGAAATTAAAATCAGGCCCAACAAACCCTGATGCTACGACGAAGGTTAAAGAAGAAGTACAATTTTATGAGATGAACGCCGAACTGCTTACGTGGTGCTGTTGCCCCCGTCTTCAATCTTGACTTTGAGACTACTCTGCGCGCTGTAACTCAAGATGCTGCCTCTGTGAGTGTGCTCGGTGGAGTGCAGCAAGATCGGCGAGAGATTGTTCGTGTCCCAGGTGTAAGAGGACTTGTCGTACACGTGGCAGCCCTTCGGGATGAAGGTGTACGCTCCCGATTTCGGCACGCAATGTCTTGTGCTGCCTTTGTTCAATGGCAAAGTGATTAGTTTCGTGTTGTTAGGCTCGGAGTATTCCACGGCCGTGTCGTGGGAAGATATGAAGGTGATGGAGAAGCCGGTCTGCTTGAATGACGGCACTTCAGCGCGCTCCGACGTTATCGAGACCATGAAGCTGGGATTCTCCCAGCAGAACACGTCGTTGTCGATCAGCACCTCGTAGTGGCCCGGCAACACGTCCGTGAACTGGTATTGGCCGTCTGCGTAATGGAAAACGACTTCACAGGCGGGGATAGTGACGTCGCGCCCGAATTAAGGAGACGTTACTGCAATAACAAGTACGGGCAGTTCATGGGTCGCTCAATTGAGCCAGTTACTAGAAACCAACCAATCGTTCTTACTTTAAATCAATAGATAAATAGCTATTAACCCTTTGACTGTTAACTGCTCTAAGTTGAAGCGCTTCGCGTGAGCGGCGTGCGGCCGGCGATCGCTGGGGACTGAATACTTTTGCGCGCAATATGGATCTTATTGGCGGTATTAACACATTATAATATAGTACACAATCCAATTACTATTACTTTGTCCACTGCAAAATGAATCCAATCATTTTTTTATTTTCAATATATATTGTTTATTCACCAATAGTAAAGTTTTAAAACGATTATGGGTTTGAAATTGTTTTTCGACCATGACAACGATGAAAGCATTTCATCCGCATCGAAATTCTCTGAATTCGAATTTGGATTTAAATCCTCTTCGTCCGTAGAAGTACTCAGTATTCTTCGCCGTTTATTTTTCCTTTTACACATAACTATCCCATTATTAATTTCTATATCTTCAGAATCAGAAGACGGTGGAATATCTTGGTGCGTTTCGTGTATTTCACCATTATACTCTTCACTCAAGTTCGAGGTTCCATCCAAGTCACTGTCATCTCTCGTAACAAATTCTTCAAAACTACTACTCATTTTTGAGGTATTAATAACAGCAAATAATAATAGAAAAATCACATGCACCACAAACGTAATATTACAAGTATGCTAACGCAACAATCACACTTCTCTGGCAACAGATGAAATTTAAGACAGAGAACAAAGACTGACCAAATAAACAAGATTTCATGTTTTCTCGTTGCTAAGCAACGTCGCTAAACAACGAGGTATGAGGTTTCTGCGAGGCGTGAGACAGCAGTAAACAGCCAAAGCCTTCGCCGAGCGCGCATTTGCGTCCATAGTCTACATCGATGGCTTGCGCCGGACGCACATATGCGCCCATAGGCTACACCGATGGTTTTCGCTGGACACATATATGCGCCCATAGCAGTCAAAGGGTTAAATTAAATTCATCCGTCAATAGCTAAGCTTTTTCAAATTCAATTACATCGTTCTTATGTTGCTAAGACCGTATTTGTCATTGCAGTTGAGGTGACAATATCGTTGGGAAACTTTGAATTTAAGGTTCATGAGAATCCGTAGCGGCTCACCTTTCGCTTGCACCGTCTTTATCGTCACTCCGTCGAGTATCTTCAGAGTGACAGAGGCTTGACTGCAGTCGGTCCCCTGCAAGCAATTCACCGTGCCCGTTAACGTGGCTTTCAGCTGTAAGAAGTTAACGTTGGTGATCGGCTGGGACATCACGTCGATCGTCTGCTGCAGCGGGAAGAATCTGAAAAAAGGTACGGCAGTTTTTGCAAGTTACGACAAATCAAATTATAATCACGAGTTATGATAAATTATATTTCAAATTATAATTAAATGCCGAATAAATGACAATTTAAATCATAAGGCGCGTTTATATTTTTAAGTCGCCGTTGTCGACGCATTTTCGCAAGTCTTCATTCGCACTACTCACTGCAAACCCTTGGCCTTCTCCTCCGTGCTCACAATCACGCTCAGCTGATACTTATCCGGCACGAGATAGACGGAGAACTCGCCGGTCTTCTCCTGAATGTCGAGCTCCTTGTAGAACGTGGCGGCGGTATTCTGAATGGCCAGTTTGCGGAAGTGCAGCGTGCCCTTCGCCGACAGCGTCACCTTGCCGGACACTTTGTACGCCGATGGTACCAGCACCGGGAGTTCAGGCGAGCTCGGAGATATCTTCACCGTCTTTTCGCTGAATTGCACGTTCGCTGGAACGGTAAAACGCGTCGACTATCAGTTTCCCTCGAGTTCACTCGAGCGAATCTCCCATCTCAACGGAACGTTTCAACGGAAATATCTCGCCTACCGGACTCCGCTCTGAGCGTATATTGGCCGGCTTTCATATTATCCAACACGTATTTCCCGTTCTTGTCCGTGACAGCGACTTCCTTCTGCGAGAGGAATATTTTCGCCCCCGGCAAAGGGCTGCCGTTCGTAAAGCTGCGTACAAGCCCGCCGACCGTGAAGCCGGTCACCTTGAAGTCCTGCGCGAGCAGCAGGCTGCCGTGGCCGACTTTGAAGAACAATTCCTGCGGCTGAACGTCGAACTTCGTCTGGGCGCCGGCGTAGTGAGGCACTAGTTTGTATTCGCCCGGAGATAAGCTGGGGAACACGAATCTACCGCCGTTGTCTGAGATGACGTGGCAGAGCGGCTTCTTGGACTCGAAATCCTTCGCCACGGGCGTCGTGTCGCAGTTTTTTGCGACGCCATTCTAGGAAACGAGGCATATCGTTCTGTACGACGCTCACTGATAAGATTCAATCTCAGAAGTATCGATCCGCTGATAAATACATGATTGATATTTGATGCAACGTTAAAAGGGAAAATCTTACTCCAAAGAGGATGAAGGACACACCAGCCACTGGCTCATTCTCGCTGGTAACTTTGCCACTGACATCGTATCCGGACACTACCAGGCTACCGTCCGGGAGCTCTGTGTTCCCCTCTTGCACAGTTACTTCGACTGTACTTTCCCTTATTATCCATCTGAAGAGAATAATCAGCACCATTGATGTTTTAAGATATCACACACATACATACACACACATATGTGTCTTGAAAAAATATATTTATCAATTGTTAAACATTATTTATACTCACTTGGGATGAGACACAATGAGAATATATTTCCCAGGCTGAATGGGGGTGAAGTAAAATATCCCACCATCAGTTGTGACCGTTGATCTAACTGGAACCTGCTTATTGCTCTCCATGTACAAGGAGATAGTGATTCCTTTGGGACCCGAATCGGTACCCAAACTGATAACCTAAAATATAAAATAATTCATATTAATTCCAAAACTTCATGTGTTTCGTTCTATATATGTATAATATTATTTTAACAAGATTGATAACAAATGAACAAAATATTTGTGCCTGTTGAGGTATATATACTAATGAAACAGCAAGGGAATTGTCACTCACTCGTCCTGTGATGCCGAATCCTTTGAACGTGAAGTTAACATCTTTCCCTTGGCTACAATCATCCGTGACACCATCTACATTCAATGCTACTTCAGTAGGCTCAAAGCTCCAACCTCTAGGAGGATCTACCTGAAGAAATATAGAAAAAATAGTGTTATAATTATAAAATATATATTAAATATCATGTAGAAGTAACATCTCTCTTTTTCTATCGTTCGGATAACATCTATCATCCAAAGGTTACAATTTTAGATTGATGACACATTAATCTTTTGTTAAAATTAAATGAAATCTCCATAACAATGTGTAATTATATTATAAACTGAATTGTAACGATCACACTAGATGGGCAAATTTCACATGTCTCAAGCACCAGTATTATCATCAATATACTGGTGCTTAATTAGTGCAAAACTCTAAATGATAAAGCATCTTTTCAACTTACTTTTAATATGTATTCGCCTTTGTCATAGAGAGGAAGAAAATAATAGCCATTGTTAGGTGCGCATTCCGTATGATCCTTTAGACTACCGGTCTTCGTATACCTGACAAATTTATCTCATGATTAGACGATTCAATTAGCGTGTTGGCCGTGATACCACGGATATCCGCTAACCTCCACGGGGACGAGAATACTCACAGCCTGACGTATACTTTCGTAAAATCGATATCAGCGTGACTCTTTAGAAAGCCGCCGCATCCTAGAATATCCTGCGCGACAGAGCTCGCCAATAACGTTGCTAAACAACCGAGAAAGATGAAATTTAGTCGAGCCGACATCGTGTCGAAGCGTCGTCACAGCCACAGTTTGCCACAGAGCTTGTTCGATCAAACCCCATTCATCTCCGTCGTTCTTCCAATCGAGAGACTTTTTACGAAATTTGTCAAACTTTATCACCTAAACAAAAATCCAAACGAGGTTCACATTGTTCAAAATTGCACGTCTTCTTTAATTTGCATGCAAGCAGATTACTGTGTGATTTTTTTTATCGAGTTATTTAATATTGAAGCAAAAAGTGTCCTTCCGGCATTGATCGCCCGTATCGAGTAAACAAGTTAATATACAATAATTATCAAGAAATAAATAAAGAAGCTTAAAGTCTCCTTTTTAAAATATACTTATCACATTTTTAATAAAAGTAAATTTCTACGTGTAAACTCAGCTGAAATACCAGGTTCGAAATCGCGGTCGCGATTTCTCGTTTATTTCGATATATCTTTGTAAAAAAACAGCGACAAAATTATAATATTAATATGTTTTGAGACTAGAGATTTCAAGCTGTAATATACTTCTCGCAGGACCCATTTTACATTATTTTCGCCGAAGTTATAGCCCGTTGAAATTTCCCTACTTTTCGAGATACAATATGAGGAGGACGGCTGATTCGTCGTTGAATAATACTACTTAGAATGCGAGATACTTCTGACTTTATCGTTTAGTCATAATACAACTTCAATTCTTCGTGTGGCGCCTTCGCGCCATATGATTGGTGCACAGTAGCCGTCAGTAACAGCCAATAGAAAATAATACGACCAAACGATGAGGTTAGACGTCGAATTTATCGAGTAGTACCACTCATCGACAAGTTAGGCGTTCTTTTACTCTGTCCTGAAAAATAGACAGATTTCAACGAACTGTAACTTCGGCAAAAATCGCGATGTCGAGATGGTTCAGAAAGCATTTTGCAGTTTAAAGTCTTTGATTTCTAAATATATTAATATCATAATTTTGTCACCATTTTCCATTAAAATCGAATTAAACGAAAAATGGCGACCATTCATTTTTGAATCTAATATTTCAGTCGGGTTTATATATGAACAGTTTTTTTTTATTAAAAATGCGATAAATGTATTTTAAAAGGGATACCTTAAACTTTTTATTTATTTCCTGATGATTTTTGTACATTAATTTGTTCGTCCGCTGTGCGCAGTCAAAATCGAAAGAACCCGTTTTGTTTTAACATTGAATAATTTTACGAAAAAGAATCGCACTTTTATCTGTCCATATGTAAATTAAAGAGGATGTTTTGCACTTTCAAATGGGGTAAAATTTATTTGTACAAGATTTTTCCTTTACATAGCTCGACAAATTATATAAAAAATTATGAGGTATATAAATCTAACGTTGAGAAGGGAAGTTCCACTGTAGCACTAATAGTTCAGTCAAAAGGAACAGATCCACTTGTCAAACTTATATCTCTTTAACCTAAATTGTCATTTGACAGTCAGATAGGAGTGGCTTTTATTTTTCGTATCTGGTGTTGCTCATTTGTTACTGACTGATAGCTTATTAACGCAATAAATAATGATAAAATGACAATCACAAGTATAAAGATAAACTAAAGTTAAGACAATAACCTATTTACAGCGAAAAGGCGTAGACACTTTCTCAGTGGATAAGACACAGTATGTACTTTATCTTAAATATTATTTTAAAATTATTGAGATACGTGCACATACTAAACAGAGGCTGTAAAAAAAATTATGTTTCACTTCTTATCTTCAAACATTTTTCTTACGTTTTCCTTACGACATATTTCCTTTATTTATTTTTTCCTGTTATATGTTACGTAGAATATGGTAGATATAAAGGCCAACATCACTGGAGAAAATGACTCACATTATGAGTCCAGAATTCGGGCCAATAGTTCCGGCACAGGAGCATCAACCCCTTCATCTTCTTCTGATTATATGACAGGAGAAGCAGACGATAGTTCTGATAGCAAAGGGACTATTCCCTTTAGCTTAAAATCAATAGAGACCACGCTTTCATTGTCCAAGGTATTGTACAATTTTCAACTATTGATTACTCATATTTTTCAGATATTTTGATACTCCAATATATTTTGATTACATATTCTTATAGAGAATCACCCCTTAAATATGCATATTGAATAGACTAGAGCAACCTTCCATCTGTATTCTTTGTTTTTACAAACAATAGTGAAATTAGAAGGTTTTACAATTTTAAATACATATGATAGCTATAGTATTGTAACTGTGATGGTTAAAAATTATCGCCATTATGTGTTTTTCAAAATCATAAAGTCTTCTAGTGTAGCTTTTTCTATTATTTATAATAGTAGAAATAATATAAATAGATGATCTGATCTGTCCTGTATATGTGATGCAAGAGAATTCAGAAGCCCCAGAATAAATATCAGAAAATATAAGTCCTCGATTTGTTTGACTTTGCCATACATATAAGAGTCACATAAAGTCTTTCAGTATTCTTTTTACATCATTTATTGTTACAAACACAGATAATGGAAAAGTCGGTAAGAGCTTTCATTTCATCGCCACTTCCGTTACTTTGTTTAGGAAGCTTCTCAGGAAGATCTGCAAGAGATGGTGGACAAGTGCAAGTCAATGGTGCTGGAGAGCGCGGAATGCTCGGACGAGCGCAAGTGGCTGGTCCGACGGTTGATCGAGTTGCGTTTACGCGCTCAAGAGTTACGTGAGACCTCGATCGAGAACCTGTTTGAGACTCACGTGATTCTGGGCCATCACTTTGTGCCGCAGAAGTACTACATCACTACGACCGGCCCGGTTTACTGTGACCACTGTAGCGGTGCGATATGGACAATGCTGCAGTCGTGGTATATGTGCAATGGTGAATCTCTAACAGTCTAACAGTATATATGACATTAGCTCCCAATAGCCAGATATTGCGATGCGACACGCTAGTGCGTTGACCGTAATCGTAAATCGAGAGGCAGGCTTCCCTTCATTGTGCACGACAGTCACGTAAGATACAAATGTCTCGTTCACTTTCCAGACTGCAAGTTCAGCTGTCACTGGAAATGTCTGAACAACGTGTGCCGTGTTTGCGTGCACGTGGTTGCCAGCGAGGCCGGCGGATACACACACACGAAGGACATTTGTCCGGAGCAGGGCCTGTCGAAGCAAGGTTACCGTTGTGCGGAGTGCGAAACACAGATAACGTTCAGTAAGTCGACGAGTTCAAGATTAAAAGTCTCGGGAAAAGTCTCGGCGAATGTCTTACTAATTATTACCCGGCTGATTAAACAGAAAGATAACCCGTTGTTTGCCTGATACATCCACCCATATAATCTGTTTATTAACACATCTGTTTATTAACACATCAATTGCGCACGAAGGAATAAGACGAGATAATAGCATGTGAGATAATACTCTTTATGTCCTCTTTCAAGCCTTCTCTAAGGGATTATCGCTATCTTGCTTCGGCAGTTCTCTTAAGAACACAGGTATTCGATCTACGATATCAATGCATCCACGACACATTACCGGTCGTATCAGACGCGCCGCATTTGTGCACCGCCGTCGATACCCTTGCAGCTCCGACCTTCGTTGCTTCGTATGCTTACTTATCACGGGAATACCCGAGGCGGCTCTCCTTTGCGCGAAAAAAAATTCACGCGGAGCTACAAGGGCTCACAGGCGGACTTTACATTCCTCACACTCATCTGTTATATCTGTCGTATCTATCTGTTAAAATACGATAATGAGGATGCGCTAATGGGCAGTAATGATCCTAGAGTCGACGTGGGTGGAGCCGCGTCTGTGCGACTACAGCGGTTTGTACTACTGTCAGAAATGTCACTGGAACTCCGTCATGGTGATACCGGCTAGAGTGATCCGGAATTGGGACATGGAGCCACGTCTGGTGTCCCGTGCCGCGGCGCAGCTCCTGATGCTGTTGGAGGATCGTTCTGTACTGCCTCTGGAGGAACTGAATCCGAAGCTGTTCACCTTGGTGCCGGATCTGTCGCTCGTCAAGGTGAGTAATGTCCCCGTGGCCCTGTGAAATAGGAACTGGAAATGTTAGATCGATGATATCCACACGAGAGTGTCACGAGCGTCTGACGAGCATGTGGATGTACCCGCAGCGGATGCGGGAGGAGATGCAGATGATGAAGAGATACCTGGTGCTGTGCGAGGAAGCCTGCGGCCAGGGCTTGCCGTGGAGGATTTGCCCGCGTACGCACATGATCGAGAACTCGGGCAACTACTCGATCAAGGACCTCATCGACCTGCAGACCGGCGCTCTTCTAGACGAGCTCCGCACCACCTACGACACGATGCACGCGCACATCACGCAGCAATGCGAGCTGTGCAGAGCCAGGTGGGCAAAGATGCGTTCCCCTCGCGTTGCAATGTGACTCGACTGACGATCGATCATGCAGCGCATCGGGAAATTTTGCTTATTACGCTTACGTCCTGTGTCTGGAATAAGTTCAACGGGTAGTACAACGCATTTGCGTCATCAGGAGATTTGACCGATGCGTCCATGTTGGACGCTGAATATTTTTCCTTAAAGCGACGTCAAATGTAATAAAACGGATCAAAAGCATGTGATTTTTCTGCTTTGATTCATCTTCGGTAAGAATCGCGATTCGAAGAAACGTTTTCCCGCTTCATTAATGGAGATGTTTGCGGCGAAAAAACAGAAGCCTTAACGAATATACTCGCTTCTTGTACAAGTGAGCTCAGTCGTTGACACTTAGAGGATCGGTGTTTGCGAGCGTTGGTTGCAAAGATACTGCCTACGTGAGCAGAGAAAGTAGCTTTGCAACTGCTGTGAAATTCGCGAATCTGATTGGTGTATGCTCTTAGATTCAGCTAAGATTAGGAGCATACGCCAATCGGATTCACGAATTTTACAACGGTTGCAAAGCTGCTTTTTCTCTGCCTAACGCAGCCATTAATTTGTGGCTTCCTAGAAAATGTTAATATGAAGTAAAATTATTATTATTATGTATCCTATATTATCTGTATTATTATATTATATATATTACTATATTATAGTATATATTATTATTGTTATATGTCGTCAACGTTTTTAGAGGACACCTGTGCGAGATATGCGGCAACGACGAGGTCATCTATCCATGGGACGCCAGCTCGGTCATCTGCCAGCAATGCACGGCGGTGCATCATCGCGTCTGTTGGTCCAAGCGGAACCACTGCTGCCCGCGGTGCGCGCGTTTGCAAAAGCGCCGCGCTCAGCAGCAGGGACAGGCGGCGCAGGATGGCGAGGATTGCGACACCGACGACACCGCGAAGGATACCTAAAACTAAACGGGTACAGCACGCGCCGGGCGCCGTTACATGCGTCGCGAGTGCATGCCAAGGAACTCTACACTCCGTACCTGTTTACTTTTCTAAGCAGATCAAAGCAATTTCACAGGCTGTTGTTTTTATAGATATTGCGTAGCGTCCGTTTGTTCGCGAATTTATACACATTGTATCTTGCGAATGCGAGTTTTTTCATACGTCCGGTCTGACAAGCGACGTGGGTGATATACACATACGGATCAGCCATATCGTATGTATAAAATCATGTTATAGAAATACTTGCGTAACGCGCGAAACGTCACAAGGTGTTTCTCTTTTTGTAAACAAAGTTCTCGTTGTCGATTAAGGCTCTTCGACTCCTCGTTGCAACCGTCTTGTTTGACGACGCCGGAAGCGAGAATACGCGTGTTTAAAACTCTCGCGAAATACGAAACTGGAATGAAGTTATACCCATGACACTTGCGATCGATTGAACACATCTGTAAAATGCCCCGAAAATTTTTTTCCTTTTGTTCTAACAATCGATGGATATCTGCAAATCAAGATGACTGCCCGGGACAAAATTTCTCATGTATATTTATATATAGAATATGCCCACGTATATAAAAAAAATATATAATTACGTATGATTATATATTAATATATATTTATATAATCATGTATAACCACTTGTATCACCATTTCACACACACACACACACACACACACACACACACACACACACACACACACACACACACACACACACACACACACACACACATATATATATATGTGAAATGGTGATATATATATATATAATAGACATATTCTATATATATAACGCCTTATATATAATTATACATAATTATACATGGAGAATTTTTCCCCGGCGAGTAAATAGGAGCCTTAAATGTTACAAATTTGCAATTAATTGTGATGTTACATATCTTTACGTTCCAACACGCAAGAGCACTTGTTATTAATTAACCCCTTGTACGCTCAAGTTAATTCGAGCGCGCTAAACAGGCCAAACTGTGCACACTCGAGATAATTCGAGCGGCGTTATATTTTATGCCGCTATAATTTTTCACACCCGAATATAATCGAGAATTGAAAATAACAATGTGAAAGCAAAGAAAAAAATTTTTTTACATAAAAAAAATTGATTTTTTTGGCCGGTTTTTTTCAAAAAAACTGTGCGTTAAGGGGTTAAATCGGTNGTTGCCGCGTATAACTTAATAAATACCGCTGCAACGTGACCCGTGTAAATGCAAAAAAAAGGAAACAAAAAGGAAAGAGCCTCGTGATAAATTTGCGATATGCATCGCTGATTAATCGGCCGGCGTGTCGTGCCTCAGTGATGTTTGCAAACGAATATTTTAATCGTAAATTTCTTTTTTTTTTTATCTCTATCGCCTACATAGATAATGCGACTGATACGTGTGTTGGTGCAATTCTCTTTTGGCGAACCCTTGAGATTTGCACAAGTGTTAAGCGACGATATTTGATTTGCTGCGCCCGTTTCTGCGGCACCTTGCGCGCCCGTTTCTGCGGGATCAAGTATTCGCGGATATTATTTAAGCTGTCACATGATTGAACCTAAGCCAGAAACGAGCCATCAGCCGGTATATCAGGTGAGCTGACGCGTCCAGCACGGCGCTCTTACGATTTTCGTCACGTTAATTTTCGAACATACGACTCTTACTAGTTACGTATTCGCAAGACTTTCGCAGGAAATCAGTTATTCTGAGGAAAATAATGTACTTTTCGAAAATCATTAAATATTGTTTTGTTTTTTGTAGAGATATATATATACACCTTTTTGTTGAAATATACATGTGCTTTTGTTGAAATATACATGTGCGTTAAGTGATTCTCTCACTGGGTTCCTTTCGATCGCAGATGTTTCGTTCGTCCCTTTGTTAAAACATCGGCAACGTCGATACACAAAAACGAATTCGTGCGAATATACACGCACGAACATATGCAATTTGTAGATCGTACGCCCGCAAAATTGTAAAATATTCAGGCTACTCGACGGGTACATAAACATTTTTGAACGACCTACAACTGAGATACTTTATTTCAAGCCGAAACTCTCCCCATTATCTGTTAAACAAAACTTCTTCCGGTAATCTCTTAACACTTAGACCATCACTTCACCCATATATGAGTGACGGTTTCAATAATTTAAATAGGAATTATTTTATGAATTATTTATAGAGATATTGAATGTGTGAAAATATTGAAATATTTGTACAATATATACTAATATAAAAAAATAATAACATTTATGTTTATTATAAAATGATCAAACTTATATGTATATTTTTATGATATTTTAAAAAGCAATCCCGCATAATTATTATACCAGTATAATAAGAATATTTACTTTAGATATGAGGTATGGAATATATATGAAAAGGTAAAAGAATATGTCACTATCCTTTCATTGGACACGTGATTTTTATTTTAATTTTATAACGGTTGCACACTCTGCAACTTTGGACTTTGGGCTCGAAACTAGCTGGGCGGTCTAAGTGTTACAGGAATTTCTTCGACTTTTTTGATACTTTCAGTAGGAAAAACCGAGATTTTTTGCGTTATCTCTCATATTTGCCTTTGTACTGCAATCATGATAACAATACGATATTTTACGTATGCATCATCTCGGTTTTTCCTTATTCCCGATGAGATGCAACGATTCTTCGAGGGCGTTAATGTTAGATCCGAGAGATGATTGAAAGATTTGTCAGCCTATTCTCTTGAGGAACCTGTTTTCTCGCCACGTCCATTTTATTAATGATTTTTAATTAATAATTATATATAAATCAGTATTTTCTCACTGAATTATATATAATTATATATAGAACGTATAATAAAAACTCGCCAGAAGCATCATATATAATATTATACATAATAATGTACGTGCATATATAATAATATACATACGGGATGTTTCACATAGGACTAAAAGGAACAAGCTACAGGGGATGATAAATTTCACCAAAAGGATAAATTTTTATGAAAGAACTCGTTTTGAGATTTATCATCTTCTGAAGTTATAGTCCCGTAGGTTCCTAAGAAATACCCTCTATATAATAATACATAATAATATTTGATTATATATGAGAAATCGTCTCCGAGAAGAGAATTGCAAACAGCCGTTACATACGATAATTTATCATTTTTTATTTTTTGTCATTAAATTCATCCGCTTTTCCATCGTCTATTTTTTTTTGTTCACAATGTCGTTGCACTCTGTATCATCTTATGTTAAGGGGGCAGTCTCTCCATTCATTTCTTACGCAACATTTATTCCAGGTGAACAAACTGCAAGATGTATTTACACTTTTGCCTGTTCGCGTTCCTCGTTCCCGGCGTCGTCGTAGGATATGCCGTTTCAGACAAGCATGAGGCAGCATCCACTTTCGTTTCCATCCCCACTAATCTGGAAAGACTTAAAAATATCTTGAATGATATAGATACCAAGGTGAAAGGTGACTTGAATGCGAAGAAGGAAGCCCTGAATAAAATCTGGGATGGAGAGTTGCGAAGTATGCTGGAAAACTCCTTCGGAGACCACAAGGAATACCTTGAAAATATAAAGGAAAGTATTCTGAGAAACAGCGAGAACATCCTGGCACATCCGGGGTGGAAGAAAATATTCGAAGAAAAACCAGAGGAACCTACCCAGTAAGCATAGCTGATCTCAGACTGCACACAGATTGGCGGCAAATTCGATCAGAATCCCACGCCAAAATCATAACTATCTGTGTCCGCATTCAGTTCGTGTTTTGACGATTGCTGATGGACAATCCGAGCAGATTGGCAACAGAAACCGCGCAGATCTGGGGTTTGATTTTCGAAAATATGTGAAAAATATCGCATACGAACTAGTTTGGGTCTATTTTACGCTGCTATTTTACGCTGTTCTTTTTTATCTGTCGAGCAGCATTTCACAAGTGGTTTTTCGATTTTCTTGCTGTCTTTCATTCAGTTCATGCGGAATCCATTTTCCCACTTTCTTAATCTTTCCCATGGCTTTCAAACGAATTGAGACAGCTTTCTGCGTCACATTCAATTCATCCGCGAGTTCTCATTGAGTTTGAGTATCATCTTCATCCAATAAGGCTTGCAATTCGTTGTCTGCGAACTTTTTCGGTGGTTTCCCACGCTCTTCGTTTCTCACGTCAAAATCACCACTTTTGAATTTTTTGAACCACTCGAAACACTGTGTTTTACCAAGAGCATGTTCACCGTAAGCTTCGACAAGCATTCGATGCGATTCTGCAGCAGTTTTCTTCAAATGATAACAAAAAACCAATGCTGTTCGCAAATCGTAGTTCGTAGGCACAAAACTCGACATGTTTAAGGTTGTAGAAAAACATACCGGTGTATGGAACTTGGGTTGTTGTGTGTTGAAAATCTTCGTCAGCTGTTAGAGGGAGATGATGGCGCTGCAGAAGCGGTCTTACGGTCCCTAAACTTATGGCTAGCACTATCTATAGGGAAATTCCGGTTTCATACTTCTACACCTGGTATATAACATATTTTCGAAAATCAGCAGGGCCTTGGGCTCTGCTCGGTTTCTTTCACCAAACTACTCGGATTGCCTGCTCAGCAAGCTCTGTCGTATTTCTGGCAGCAGTTCGACAACATAATTCGACGGAACGGATCCTGTGTTGGATTTGTTGCCTTCGAAAATTTGTAGCAGGTTCAGCTTGAAATCTGTTTGCGCAGGTTTAACTATCTGAACGTGCCGAGTTCAAACTATGGTGATGTGTTGAATGAGATCAAGGAGCCGGTCCGTTTAATCTTCCCAGGTAGGTAACTCGAGATTATTGTCCGTAATCACGTAAAGGGGAGGTTTTGAGAACACTAAAAACTCTCTCGCGAATAAAACCATTTTTATCACCGTCATATCCGGAAGCACGCGAGAAGTGATCTCTGTCGGATACCTGATAATATAGAACATTCCACTAATAGTTCGGAATTCCGAGTATTTTTAATACCTTGCTAATATCGCCCGTGACATGCAAATCTTTTCATGAGAATCAGGAATGACCATGAAATTTGTGAGGTAAAGAAATCGGGTTTAAATTTCGCGTTTCGAGGAGGCGCGCGAAACACTGATTACGAGAGGGATCGTGTACTTCATTGTTTCGCATATAAACAGGAATATATTATCTTCTTACAAAAGATTTCAACAATATTATAATATTATAATGTTGAAATTCAAGATTATTAACATTTTGTGAGAAAATTATATATATTCTTGCTCGTATATGAGACTGTATTCACATATCGATTAGGATATGTAAATTTCGAATTGATAGTTTTATTTTCTCCGCATATATCATTGTCATTAACATTGTTATTGACATTGTCTCCTGTTATCGCATTTTCCTATGCTGCCGGCGTATGTCAGGAACTAAATGGTGCGGCGATGGTGATATCGCGGAACACGACGAAGATCTTGGTAGATTAAAACAATTGGATATGTGTTGTCGAGCGCACGACAAGTGCAAGATAAGCATGGTGTCCGGTGCTAAGCTGGGCAATCTCTGGAACGAGGGAAAATTCACGAAGTATGATAGAGATTTCGTAAAACTCATGTTACCTTTTCACGATTACGCATTCTCTCTCTCTCTCTCTCTCTCTCTTTCTTTCTCTCTCTCGCTATTATATGTATATTTCCTGGAAAGTTAATTGTAATTACAGTATTGTGCGAACTATCAGACTCATATTCCAACAATGTTAGCGCCTATCTTGATCTAATAATCTAATAATCGACATCCACGTTGAAATTGCGAAATGTGTCAAGCCATTGTGATCTTTCGACAGATCCGCTTGCATGTGCGACTTTGAATTCTACGACTGTCTGAAAGCAACCAACAGCATAATTAGCTGGCAAATCGGAAAGACGTACTTCAATATATTGGGACCGCAATGTTTCTATTGCGTAGAACCAGCGAATGGTTGTAATAAGTAAGTTAAATTACGAAAACGACATGGCCACAGAGCGCAAAGACTGTCAGGACCGTTTTCGACAGAATCTTAAACACGTCGAGTTTCGCAGTTTTTGACACAAACTTTGTGTTGTGGCCCTCGTATCTATTTCATTTGGTTTTAATTATGTTCCATTGATGTTAATGTATATAAACGTAATTTTCAGAGATAAAGACAGTTTGCAGTGCCTGCAATCTTGCTACACTTACGGATGGCTCAAGAATAAAAAGTATTGAGCAAATAATGGTTACAGTGACCAATGTTCAATTTTGAAAGGACCCCTGCATTTAACTCCGGATAAAATTTCGGAGGAACCACCATCACGGATTCAGATCAACTGCAACTGATGCACATACTTTCGCTCTTAATATAACAACCTCAGTCTTGAGATCGGCGTAATCTCGCGTTCTCGAAAATTTGCAATTTCATCTAAACACAGGTATCACCTTAGCGACTAACAAGAAATCATGATCCTCGGATTAAGATCGACGAGGATAGATCAGTTTGAATTATTTGTTTGTACTCTCAGAGACTATTAGTGTGTGTGTGTGTGTGTGTGTATGTATATATGTGTGTGTATGTACATACTGTGCTCTAAAATTGTTTAATTAATTATAAATAATCATTGTTACATTGTAATGCGAGTACGATGTATATAATATAAGTAAATCTTAAGCATCATCAGCAAATTATGCGCATCTTTTACTTTTACCTTTTCTACCACTTTCAGTTTTTCAGTTTACCACTAGAGTTATAGCCAATTTTTTTGTCAACAATAAAAATAATTTATGATAAATTGTTTTTCTCACTTATATATTGCTCTTTCACTTATCGGTTCAGTGCGCAAGCAAAACCTTATCCTCACTGCGTCGTCGTAGATTAACAAAATTTGCGCGCGATACTTTCATTATGAAAACAAGTGTTGCCTCAAACCAGTATGGGTTGCCTACTGGCAGGCATATGTAATCGTACGGGTAGAGGTCTATAAATCCTTACATAGCGTTATAAATAAATAAATAAATAAAAAAAAATATATATATTTATTTATGTATTTATTTATTTATTTATATACAGAGTGTTCGTTAATTATTTCGGTATTCACGGTGTATATGTAGAACGGATTGAACTGAGCAGGAAAGTCACATGCCATTTGCAAAATTCGCAATAATTAATGAATGACTAATTAATCTGTATGAACTAATGGACACGTGAGAAACGGTAAGCTAGATTCTGTATAAAGAAAAATGACTCATTTTTGGAGATCTAGCAACGATGGGTATTAACTGATAGCGAGAGGCATGATTTTTTTCTTTTTTTGGCATGTAACCTTGTGTCACAAGTCGCTCACTGTTCGTCGTGTAATTGCGTCTCTCGTTATCAGAAATTAGTCGATGCTCATCGTTGGAGATTAGTCGATGCTCATCGTCAGAAGATTTTCAGAAATAAGACATTTTTCTTTGTATAAAGTCCAGTTTACCACCTCCCGTAAGCTCATACAGATTAATTAATTCCTCATTAACTGTTGCGAATTTTGCAAAATGATACGTGACTTTTCTGCTCAGTTTCATCCGTCCTATCTGCGCACCCGAGAAAGGTTTTAGACATTCTATATATATATCCTAATCCCCCGTTGTAAGACTTGTTTGATGATGTCAGAAGCGAGGAAACGCGTATCTAAAATTCTCGAAAAAAAACACGTTACATAAAAGGATAAGCCCGTAATTTTATACGTGACACCTGTGAACGTCTGAGCACATTTGTGAAATATTTCGAAAACTATTGCTTTAACGATCGATAAGTAAGCGCAAAATTAATACAATATGCAACTCTGCTTGTCAGCGTATCTCTTCTCGAGATATTGTTATGTTAATTTGACGGTTATATATTGATCGTTAAAGCGAAAGGAAAGTTTTCGGCATGCTTCCCAAACGTGCTCTCAGTCGATCGTAATTATCATTCTATGGTGACGTGTAATCCTTTTATCTCAACGTATATTCCGTGAGAATTTTAGGCATACCTTTTCTCGCTTCTGACGTTTCATTAATCAAGGTGGTTGCAACAAGGGATCCGATTTAAATACCAGCTTTAAATACTGCAAATTTACCTGGTTAACTACGATGTTATACATTTTTAAACGTTCCGACGCGCGAAGAATCGCTTAATGTTAATTAATCGCCTGTCGCGTGTAACGCGCAGTTCGACAAATACCGTGGGCGACACGGGCGATGGGGAGGGGAAAAGAAGGAAAGAAAAACGAGTTCAAAGTCTCGTGCCGGCTGATTGGCGATGCGCTGACGAATTCGACAGCGTTTCGCGTGTTCGACGCGCCTTATCGTGCAATGTCACAGTGAACAAATGTAACTTGTAAATTTGTTTATTTTTCTTACCTGCATAAATAAAGCGACAAATACATGTATCCTTGGGTGGCACCCTTGACATTTGCACAAGGGTTGAGCGGCGATATTTGACTTACCGCGCGCACCCGCGTTTCCGTGGGATCAAGCAACCGCGGAGATGATATTTAAGCGAGCCGTCAAGTGATTGAGTCTAAGCCGGAAAGGTATCACCAGCCGATGTATCAGGTGAGCTGACGCGGCATTCTTACGATTTTCATCGCGCAAATTTCACGGATACACAAGTCTTCAATTATATATGTCGTCGCTCAGACTTCGCAATTCCGACATCGGCGAATCACGTCAGGTTTATCGCGAAAATCGGTCATTTTTAGGAGAAAAATGTATTTCTCGGGAACAATTGATAAATATTGCTTTTATGAAAATTAGAAGCACGACTGGTCTTAATCCAGATAGGTTCCACGGAGAGACTTTCTTGCTGAATTAGACAAATGGTTCAAATAAAAATTCTGTCTCTGTCATCTGTATCGATTAGATACGACACACATGTGGCATTGAAATGCCAGTCATTTATCATCTTAGCTAAGCTAATTTTTCGTATCTGGATAATTTTCGTTATTATTGCAAGATCACCACTATTTTTTGAGTGCAATTTCGAGTACGAACTAAAAATAATTTCACGTTAATATTATAATTTCGCACTCAATAATGTAAGTGCGATATAATATATGTTGTATGTAACAGTTACATTGTTGAGTGAGAAATTATAATATTTTTTTAACATTACTGTTAGTTGATGGGTATGCTTTTCTTAAAGTTATTCTCTCACTGAGTCCCTTTTAATTTCAAATGTTTCGCTCGTCCTTTTCCAAGGACGTTGAGATGATACGCGAAAATTAGAACGCAAATTCCTGTGAATTAATATGCACGCAATTTGTAAATTGTATACTTGAAAAGCGCTGGAATTTGCGTTCTAATTTTCGCGCATCATCTCAACGTCCTTGGAAAAGGACGAGCGAAACATTTGAAATTAAAAGGGACTCAGTGAGAGAAGCATCAAGAACAGCGAAAAACCGAGATGACACCTACTCTTTGTAAGATAACGCGAAGCTTATAACGCGAAGCTTATCTTACAAAGAGTAGGTGTCATCTCGGTTTTTCGCTGTTCTTGGTGGGATGCGACGACGTGGGATCGAGCGATAATGTTAAACCCGAGATCGTTGAAGAATCCGTCGACCCAAAAGTGACATGTAGATCTTTTTGCAAATGAGACAATCGATTACATTTTATAGGCACATCCTTTGATTTTTCTACGTATTCTGCAAGAATTTGGTGCGTACGTTTTCTCGCCTTGGGCGCCATCGATCAAAATGACTGTGGCCGAGGACGAGGAACATTAAATAAACTCAAAGAACATCAAGACATGTTTCAGACAATAAGACGTCTTTTAGATACGCGTGTTGTATGACAATTCTTATCATTGCATATTTTACACACAACACACGCGCACACACACACACACACCCATAATGTTCTTCCGTAAACACTTATGTAAAAAATAGAAAATGCTACTGCTCGTATATTGTTAGACGTCATAAAGTATTTCCACCTGCGACTAAGTCAATTAAAAGTGGTTACAATGACACATAATAATCTATCATTGCTCATGTCTAAACAAAAAGATCGCTCGCGGAAGTGCCATTCGCTGTCTTTTACTCTCCATTAAATTCGTCCTCCCTTCCCTCCTCCATCTTCTTGCGTTCACAATATGTCATTGCGCCGACATTATGTCATTCCGGCTTATATTAAGGTGTCTCTCCGTGCATTTTTACAACATTTATTTCAGTTGGCCAAACGACAAGATGTCGCACCTACGTTTTTGTTTGTTCGCGTTCCTCGCCCTCGTCGTCGTCGCAGGATTTACGTCGTCGCAGGATGTTTCGGACGATGTTTCGAAAGATGTCGAAACGACGGACGATGTCACGGACGATGTCACGGACGATATCTGTATGCAACCGGTAGAACCTGGTTCCGAGAGTGCTAAACTAAGTTTTTTGGAGAAATCAATGAAAAATATGAAAGACGATTTTGAAAAACTGGGAAATAATTGGAAAGCCAGAGTGGAACGCATGAAGAAATTCGCGGAAGAAGGAACAAAATGGAAAAAAGAAATGTTGGGAAAGTTGTTGGGAATTACTGGAGAAAAAGACATAGACAAAATTTTTGAAAGTATCATACAAGAACCGAGAGAATGGGCAACGACTATGATGGAAAAACTGCAAAGAGCCTCGGACGCTCGAAAGGATGGCAGGAAAAATCTCCTGGACGATTTTATGAAAGAAATGAAGAAAAATATCGAAACAAAAAAGAAAGATATAGAAGAATTAATAAAAGAGCAGCAGAAAAACCTGGGAGATAAATGGCAAAATATGAAGGAGAATATGAAGGAGAATATGAATAATTTAAAGGAAAATATGGAAAATAGATGGAACAAGTTGTTAGGAAAAAAATCAGAGGAGCCTAAGAAGGTTTGCTACGGTGATACCTTGAATAAGATGGGCAAGGAGTTCCAACTGATTTTCCCAGGTAGGTAACCCGAGATTATTGTTTATAATCGCGGACGTCGTAAAGAAAAAATTCGGCGGGTAATTAAGATAAGACTTTTGCAAATAGAACTATTTTCTCATCTATCTTATTCAGAAATACACGAGGAATAATCTCTATCGGATATTTATTGATGCAGAACACTTAGCTAATTATCCGGAATTCCAAGTGTTTTTAACGTCTTGCTAATATCGTCCATAACAACCCGTCCATAATAACCCGAGCGAACCTCTTTGTGAGAGTCGGGAATGTCGTAAATAGTCTGCAAGATAAAGAGATCGGGATTAAAATTCGCGTTTTGGAGGAGGCCTGACTAAACATTGAGTGCGAATGAATCGTGCGACATATCTTGCTATTGAATATTTGTACATCATAAATGCTGTTTTGAAACACCGTTGCCAATTCACTAAGTTAGATAGTTACAACGCACGGATATTCGGACACAATGCGCCTGATTGGAAATTTTCGATGTCACTATGTCTATTGAATGGGATTGCGTTAATGGAATCTTTTGTACAATGAGGCCCACTCGTATATCGTCATTATTAATTGACACTGTCTTCTGTCATCGCATTTTTCTATCCTGCCGACGGCGCGATACGTACACCAGGAACGAAATGGTGCGGCGATGGAGATATAGCAGTAAGTGACGATGATTTGGGCCGGTTTTCTGGGTTGGATAAGTGTTGTCGAGCGCACGACAAGTGCTACAAGGACATCGCGGCCAATGATACTCTGGGCAACCTCAAGAACGACGGTCTCTTCACGAAGTATGATAGAGATTCCATAAAACTCATGTCTTCTGCCTTTGCAAACACATAATATTGTAATTACAGTTTAATGTATCGTAACTTGCATAAGTTATATTACAATATAGTTCGTCACATACACATGTTTATATTGCAAGTTAATTATAATTGCAGTACTGAGCGAAGCACTAGACACAAGTTTCAGTAACGCTCGCGTTTTTCTCTTAATCTAATAATCCATGATCTATAATCGATATTCACTTTGGGATCGCCAAGTGTGTCAAGCTCTTGTAATCTTCTTTCAACAGATCTGCCTGTTCGTGCGACTCTGAATTCTACAACTGTCTGAAGGCCGTTAACTGTCCAATCGCCAATCAAATCGGATGGACGTACTTCAATATATTGCAACCTCAATGTTTCACATGCAGGTGTCCGAAAGAGGATTGTGACACGTAAGTCAAATTATGAAAACGACATGTTATACGTTAGTTATTCCATTTAATTTTAATTATAATCGAATAATGTTCATTGAAATTAAAATGGTGATTAATTGAATGTAACTTAAATAAACATACTTTTTAGGGAAAAGGATGAGAACTGTCTGAACTCTTGCGAGAGGTACGAATGGATCGACAATCCTAGATACTAGGAATAGTTACAGTAACGCTCAATTCTGGAAGGACCGCTATATTTCGCTCCGGATAAAGCTAGATGGAACTACTTTCATGGATTCAAATCTGCAACAGACGCACTTGTTTTCGCTTTTAACACAATAACCTCAGTCTTGGCGGCTTCGCGTTCTCGAAAATTTGCAATTTCACTTAAGAACAAGCGTTATTTCAGCGACTAATGAGAAACTAGAATCCTTGAGTTAGAATCAGCGAAAGTCGATTTTAATTCGAGGATCATGATTTCTCGTTAGTCGTTAAAATAACGCCTGTTTTCAAGGGGAATCTGAAGCGATTCTGTACCGATGGTTTGGGATCCTCAGAGGCTACTAATATGTGTATGTATGTATACATATATTTTGCTGTAAAATTGTACAACTAATCAAATGTAGTCATTGTACATTGCAACGCGAGTACGATGTACATAGTGTAAATAAAAGTTAAACACCAAGGCAAATTATAGGCATCTTTGATTTTACTTCTTCCACCACTTTTTATTATTCACCAATCAAATAGGTCATTGTCAACTTTTTATTAATAACAAAAATAATTTGTGATATGTTGTCCCTTTCGTTTATACATTGTTCTTTCATTTATCCATTATAAACATTCTTCACTTAATTTTCGACTATTCCGCAAATAACATTTTACGCATATTAATGTAAGTCATTTTCGGCGTTTCTTGAAAGCGTCTCACACGGAACTTTCGCTTACTACAGCTCAAGCGTATTTTTTAGTGGCACGCCTCTTTTGATATAGTGCGGTATCGTTTTAGGAACCATGCTAAAAAAGTGGAAACTTAGTTAGTTAAATTGGTGGATATCTCTTAATGATCAAGAGTAGGATTAAAACCGATTCAAAAGTCATCAAGTTTGCATTTGTATTTCGAACTCACGTGATACAATCGATGATCGGGCATACGGACAAACAGAGCGTGCATCCGGTACAGTCATCCGTTACCTTGGGGATGTGGGTGTCGAAGTCGAAGGTGATCGCTTGGTACCCGGAATCCGCGCAAGCCATGTAGCACTTTCCGCAATTAATGCACATATCCTGAAAGGAACGGTAGATAAATACGACGACAAGGGTCCTCAGTACTCGGTGAACCAGAAACAGCAGATCATCCTTCATCGAATATTGTTATTGTTAATTAATGAATATCGTTGCTACAACATTCCACCGATGATCTTTCGGTTTTTTCTTTCACTGAGCTGATGATCGAAATAACCCAAATAAGACATATGTCTAAAAGACGTCTCAAAAACGTCCTTTTTACATCTTATTGTCTAAAAGACGTCTTTAGGACGTCTTAATGTTATCCGGGAAGTGTCATTCTACGTACATCGTCGATCAAGGCGACCATTTGCTTCTTGTTATCCAATTTTTTGTAACTAGTGATGTTGGTCAACGCTTTGCCTATTACGTCCTTGACACTGGGTGTCGGCATGATCGGTGCCGGAGCCGGTCGAGTTACCTCCACGACTCCGTTCAAGGGGCTCGAGTTCGCCTTCAACTCGGCTATCTTCTGCTCGCGCAGCTTTTGGTACTCGCCGAAGTACGGCACATTCTGGAAAGAAAAAAATTAGATTGGACACGGAAGACAGACATGAATGAGAAGACGATTCGAAAAAAATGTTGCAAGCGCCAAACTTATAAGGTGAAACGCTTTTGCGATAGAAACAAGTAGTTCACGCTCGTGTTTGTCGATCGATCGGCATTTCGCGTCTGAGGATGACCTCCATCAAACTCTGAGCAGGTAAAAATTTTTCATACATATAAAGAATTAAACATAATTTTATATATTTTTTTATTTTTTCATATGATTATATATGACACATTTTTTGCCGAGGATTAATCCAATCGACGATTTTAGATCGCTGTCAGTCAAACATTACCTGCTCCACAGACAGATCCTTGCTAACGCAGGTAGAAATTATTAATTTCTCGATGATCGTCGAACGACAAGTTACGGAATCGAAAACTGATATCGGCAATTCTTATTATTGCTCATTGATTGGCTTAATTTGAGTTTGATGAAAGTCACCCTCTAAAAGTTCACGATCAACCGGTGATTAATACTCACTTTGCCGAGAGCATGTTGCAAGGAGACAGGCTTGCCTTTCTGATGCTTAAATGTCGGCGGGCTCTGGCCGTCCCATCCCTTCACGTGTGCCAGGCTCTTCAGGTATAGTAAGGTTTTCAAACCGGTCACATAATCGTCTATCAAGGTGAAGTCTTGATTCTGAATGGCGCTGCCAACCTGCGTATCAGGTGAATGCGCACTTGAATGATGTTCCACGCACGCATTTTTGATCGTTCAATTTAAACAGGTCTCTCTTCTCGAGTAATATTCGAGTAAGTAATGCGGGCAACTTACCTGGACGACCGACGCACCGCAATGCAAGAATTGCAGGGCGACGTCGGCTGAATCGATGCCGCCAATGCCGAATATCGGGAATCCCGGGATCTGCTTCGAGATCATCGAGATAGCCCTGAGTGCTTGCGGTCTGATAACGTTCCCCGATATTCCGCCGTACGTCGAGAACTTGGAGTCGATCGCCGGCCACGGCGTCGCGTCAGAGCGCAGCCCCATTAATCCTTGCACGGTGTTGATCGTAGCCACGCCATCGGCCTTACCTGTGTCGAGGATCGTGTGAATGAAGTGGCTGTTATATCGAGGTTTTTATATGCGAATTTCTTGAGAATTCGATCGTCCGAACGTCTAATGTTTAAATTGCGACAACCGCGTTAAATATGAATGTCTATTCTTCTCTCTTTCTCTTTCATTCTTCGTAACGTCCCTGATACAAATATTTTAATTTATTTGAAAATTTGCTGAAATATATTTGAAAATCTCTCAGTTGACTCCATTTTGTTATCATTTCATCAATATTTCGGTAAAAAATTACTTCCGTCGATATTTCAGCAATTTTTCTTTAAAAAGTCACAGTTCTCAGTTTTATTTAACTTTATGATGTCTAATATTTCAAACTTTTTTTATTTTTCAATAATGTAACTTATTAATACTTATAACTTATAATAATTTAACTTTCCTTATACTTTACAATATTACATTGAATCTCATAAAGAAAATTACAATTAATTTTTATATATATTCAGTAATTTTTCAATAACTTTCATTTCAGTTTTCATCGATTTCATAGTATCTTCAGCAAAATATCTCCCCATCAGGGATATTTTGATTTAACTTCGCATTGATCTTGGAATATTTTCGGTTACCTTCGTAAGCTGCTTTGGCGATGGAAACGATGTCGGTGATGTTGGGCGTTAATTTCACGAAAAATGGTATCTTGACGGCTTCGCGAACCCATCTGGAGATGTTCCTGACTAGATCGGGATCCTGTCAATTACAGTTACAACGAATCGATTTAAAGTTCTTTTTTTCTCAAATCATAACGAACACACACCTGACCACAAACCAGACCCATTCCGGATTCTCCCATACCATGAGGGCAGGACAGATTTAATTCCAAGGCGTCAGAACCAGCTGCTTCCGCTTTCCTCGCCAGCTCGGTCCAGTCGCCTTTGTTGTACGTACACATGATACTCGCGATGACAATCTACACAAAGACATGCGCTAATGTCGAGTAACTGAAAGGTCGGCCTCTCACTAGCCATTAATTTATAATCACATCGACTTCTCGTTGATAAAATATTTTGATACATTATTGTACAATTTTCGATTGTATTTTTATGTTACACGGAAAATGGTTTGGTTTTCTTTCACCGCTTTTTGTCCCAAGGGTACAAAAATTCATTTGGAAAAATGCTCGTGTGTAAAATCTGTCACATTTTACTTTATTTCCGTAAAGAAGATAGAAAACCAAAAAAAATCACGGAAAATCTGGAAAAAACGGTTCTTTCCGAAACTTGAAAACTATAGATTGACTGAATTTGTCCTGAAATGGACAAGCCAAGTAGATTTTTATTGGAGGGAACAAAACTTCTAGTTAGAAAAACCGAGTTTGGTTTGTCCGTTTCAATCAAACTGCCTTTTCCATATATATATTATACTAATATAATCACAGAAAGAAAATAAGTAGAACACGCACCTTCGTAGGAAAGTCCCGTTTTAATTCTGTGATGCTTCCGCACCAATAATCCGCGGTTTTTTCAGATATCAGCTCGATGTTCAAGAAGCTACTCTGTTCGGGTCCGTAATGATAACCGGACGTCGTGTCTTTTACGATGCGCGGCGACACATTGGTGACGAGATCCTAAAGAAAGAATATGAATTAGAAGAGTGAAACGTTACTCGGTTTTTGACAATGATTATCTCAAGAGGTACCTTGTCTAAGCTGAAGGTCTTCGTGACGGCGAAAGCCCAACCGGTCTCGAAAGCGCGTCGGATCATCGCACTGCTTGTGCAAGGTGGTGCGGAAGCCAGACCGAAGGGATTCTCGAATTTCATGCCGCATACCTCGACGCTCAAATCGACCTCGTCGATGGCGGTGTGGAACTTAGGTAGTTGCGGACTCTCCGGTACTGTCAAACCGCGCGATTCCTGAAGAAGAGATATAAAAAAGTTGCCTGTGATTAGCAACATAATTCTGGAAATTATTTTGCTAATTTAGAAGAATAACAAAGTAAAGGAGTATATAATAGAAGTGAATATAAAATACATAATAAAACTATAATAAAGTTTCACTTTGTATGCTCAGCAATTTCATTGAGACAAGTGCGAGCCGGCATATATTTGTCTTTGTCACATTTCCAGTTAACAACAATTAATAGTAACGTTAATGTTATAATTATAATGTTATAATTTCTCATCCAACAACAATGTAAATGCAATATAACACGCGTTGTAACAGTTGCATCGCCGAGTGAGAAATAAATTATAACTTTGTTGCAACGTTACAGTTGGTTGCTGTTAATTAGGTTATTTCGAACTTACCGTCATCTGAATTCGTCTGTCACTCGTCAATAGTGTTCTGTTTGAATAGCGTTTGAAAGTCTCGCGAAATTCCAAACAAAGATCTCGACTGTCGTAATTAATGTAAAGACACAATGCTAACCGACCCTAACACACACCTGTATATACTTGTGAATGTACCATGCAGCTGTCTTGCCGTCATTCACGGATTCCACGGTCGTCTGGGAGACGCCAGCTAAGTCACCTCCGCAGAACACACCTGGTACGGACGTCGTCATCGTGGCCTCATTCACTTCCGGTAGGTCCCACTTGTTCATCTTGACAGGTGCCATGGCACACCTGACTGTCCGCATTGTGAACGTAATCTCTATTTATTTGCCTTGTCTCTCTCTCTCTCTCTCTCTCTCTCTCTCTCTCTTTCTCTCTCTCTCTCTCTCGTTCGTCCTTTTCTCGATTGATCTGACAAAAATTGCTCACCGGAGGTGTCGTACAATCCCGAGCCGAAAGCCGAGATCACGAAGTCCGCCTTTAGTTTAAACGTTTGCTCCTCGTCCTCTATCCACTCGCCTTTCACGTTTTGCTCGGTCCGGCAAAATTCCATCCCGATGATCCTGTTACGAAGCGTCCCTCGAGTCATCACTCGCTTCGGCGACAGGAAAGGTATGAATTCGCACTTCTCGTTTTTCGCTAAATCAACCTGAAAACAATTCGTGGCATTCGCCGAAATTCGATATTTCTCGAAAAATTAAGCTCTTTTAAAATTCTAAAACTGTTTAAATTTGTTTCATAACGGTTGATGACTACCTCTTCTGGAACTGCCCGGATATTGGTGAAACCTTTCCGGAAGACGACGTACACCTTCTTCGCCCCGCATCTGAGGGCGGAAGTGGCGCAGTCGAAAGCGGTATCCCCCGCACCGAGTACGATCACGTTGCCACGGAGAGACGGTAGTTCCTGGTAACTCTTACAAGCGCACATCCCCGGTTTGCTGCTTTTCGCGACAGCGGGTAGAAAACCCTTCGAGGTGAAGAAACCCATCTCAGGCGTGAGGTTTTCGAAGATTGGTATATTTTTCGGCTCGGGTAGCCCGATCCCCAGAAAGATCGCCTGGTACCCATCGTCTTGCAGTTTCTGAAACATTTCGAGCATTCGTTGCTACCAAAAATTAATTCTACACGGAGGAAAAAGGTTAGTTGAATTAACGTAACGATTAAACGGGCCGAAAGCGTTTTGCTCGAAGAAAACAGAATTTCTGGTTCTTACAGCCGGATTTGGCTGTAAGAACCAGAAATTCTGTAAGAATCAGAAATTATGTCAGACAAAATGCGAGTTTGGCTTGTTCATTGTCACGTTAATTCGACCAATCTCTTTTCTCCGCAGTAAAATTAGATCATTACTACACTTTTATAATTATCGTACGTAGTGGAAAGTAAAAATTCTTGATAGCAAATTTCACATCGTACTCTCACTTTTTAATCACAAAACCGCATACTTTTCATTTTATATGTAAACTAATCTTACCTGTATCGTGAGATCGTCTTCGCACAGCGACCTTCCCAATTCGATCTTCACACCTAGATCGCGGACGAGATTGACCTCGAAATTCACGACATCGTACGGGAGTCTGTACTGCGGTATTTCGGAAGAACTCAAGCCGCCGATGTATTTTTCCTTCTCGAAAATAGTAATATCGTCGTAGCCGAGTCGAGCGAGGAACGTCGCGCAGGAGAGAGAAGCTGGTCCACAACCGAGCAGGCCGATCTTCGTGCTCGCATGAGGTACCGTTTGACCAGGAATTCTGATCTGTGGGATGTTCATCCGCTTGAAAATCTGAAAAAGCCATTAGTATGTAAAAGAGTCATGCACATTTATGTAATACATTTTACATAGTATTTCTCATGTGTTCTAGTTAAAATTTTTGATACCTGAATACATCAACTATCGTTTGTATTAGGTTGGTGCATATGAAATGTCGGATTCTTAAGTGATTGTATAAAACTGTATATCTTTCTTCAAAAGCTGTTTATTCAATCAAAGTATGCTCCATTCGCTTCAATACACTTCTCCCAACGAGATTTTAAAGCGTAGATGCCTGTCTTAAAAAAATTTTGGTCTTTAGAATTAATAAACTCTGATATCGAGTTTTTTAGACTGTCTTCATTTTCATGGTGTTTGCCTCTTAAAAACAGCTCTAAATGCTTGAAAAAATGAAAATCGGTCGGCGAGAGATCCGGTGAATATGGTGGATGCTGCAAAACTTCATATTCCAGTTCGTTCAGTTTCGCAATTGTTTTGTGCGATGTGTGCGGCCGAGCGTTGTCATGGAGCAGTAGCGGGCCATGCCGATTCACAAGCGATGGGAGTACAATTTGGTGTCTCAATATCGTTGTATGGTCAACTTTCATCCTGATAGCAAGTTCCCTCGTGGATACGGCTGGATCCGCTTCCACTAGAGCCTTCAGGTCATCATTATTCACAGACGTTTTGGGTCTTCCGCGCGGCTCATTTTGCAGTGAAAAATCGCCAGTCCGAAATTTTTCGAACCAACGCTGCACTTTCCGATTGTTAACCGTATTCTCCCCAAACGCTTGGTTTATGTTGCGTGCAGCTTTTGCAGCACTATTACCAAGTTTGTACTCATATAAGAAAATGACGCGAATGTCGGCAGAATTCATATCGGTAATAAACTCAAAAGAAATAAAAAAGGGAAGACCTTCGAGAAAACCTATTTTGTTGAAATGAGTCTCTGGCAATGGACAATACGAGTATGAATGAGGTTATGCCAAATACAAAAGTATAACGAAAACAGGGAGGAAAACGTCCGCATGTAAAGAGAATGCGACATTTCATACGCACCAACCTAATATTAAAAAATTGTATAGGAATAGACACTAATTACGTTCAGCAGAAGCTGAAGTTTAGTAAGCGCTCAATGGTTACTGTGACTCTAAAGAATGTACTTTTCTATCTTTTTGATAGATCTATAGTAATATATCAATGAATATTTAACATTGATTCCCGCAGCTAAGTCGAAATTTTGGACCTATGTTAAACCTTTAATTGTGTAAAACACAATAGAAACTAAAAATAACAAAATAGATGCGATTTCAATCTTAATAATATAATTTATTCCCACTTTGACCTCGATGATGACCCTTAAATTTCCGCGGCACAGAGAAGAAAGATTGATCGAAATCGAGTTTCTTTCGAAGAATCAAATTTGGTTCATAAGTGGCGCGAAAATTTCGATTCAGGCAACCGTCGCAATATCGCGTACGTCTAAGGCGAAGTGTTGAAGACCACCGATGTTGATAGGTCCCTCCTCGGTCGCATAGAGATTGCATCCGCCCACGCAAAGGTCGCTGGTCGGGCAAACCATGCCGCAGGTGAGACCGAGCGGATTGTCCGAGAGAATCGCCTTGGCTGCGCCATAGTAGTTCTTATTGGAGATGGAAGTGATGAAGGACTTGATGTCCAACTGCGTCGGGCAGGACTTTTGACAAGGCGCGTCGGCGCACTTCAAGCAACGCGCCGCTTCCTTCAGAGCTCCGCGCTCACTCAGGGTAGTGTGCTTGATGTCATCAAAGTTTTTCGTTAAGGGCAGGCAGCCCTGAAAGAGAAATATTAATTTATCATTAAGGTGACGCACAGATTATTATCGAAGTGTTAATTAAGGTTGTCGGTGGATCAGCGAAATATATTTTCAGAACGTGTTTTGTAATGCTTCTTTGCCTATTGTATAAATTGACACGATATTCAGTCAATATCAATTAATATAACATCAATATTATAATATTCAATGTAAATATAACGCGTGCGTTATGTAACGGTTATGCAATAATTACATTGTTAAGTTGTAAAATTATACACATGAAAAAAAAATGCCGCATTCAAGTAAATAATTACTCCAGTTCCGAGCAAAATGTTTACTTGGACTAAGTAAATTTCACTTAGATTAATTAAATATTATTTGAATGTAACCAAAAGGTGCTAAATTCAAGTAATATTTACTTAATTTAAGTAAACATTTGTTCATCACTATTGGAGTAACGATTTATTATTATTATACTTGAATATAATACTTTATTTTTTCCAATGTAACTTTGATTTTACGTTACTGATAATTAATGTTTACTGAATATAATGTATCTTATGTATTAATCGACGAACACGTTGATATTGTCAACTAATCCTCAGCCGCCGTAAAACTTAATCGTTGCAGATAACGAGACAAATATATTGAGTTTCAATTTAGATCTCCTTTAACTGATAATTGTCTAGCCTATTTTCCCTATATCATATATATTTTCACATTCCAGAGGTATTTCCCGCATGTTTCTCTGGGTACTTTTTGCATAGTCCGCAAACGTAATTACAATTTAACAAACGCTATAAATAGAGCAGCATTGTAAAATGTGGTTATTTTAAACTATTTCGAAAAGAACACACGTAACAAAAGTCACAATCTTATCGGTCGACTTTCTTTACGCATATCTCGAAGAAATATTACGTAGCAAAATATGACAAGCAGTTGTAAATAATTCATATCATGTCATATTATTCGTTTCGCTGAAATTAATTAACGTTTTTTCACGGAAGGTACAATATCTTCACTGACATAATAAATATAATCTAAACGACCTTACATCACATTTATCGTGGATGTTTCTCTTCCAATGTTGCTTATTCTGCTTGGTGTGCGCCGAAGGCACAAAATTCGTGTAATTCTTTAACTTCGGATTGATGTGCAGCAGATTCTGAAAATTTCAATTAGCTGTCATAAAAATAAAGTGTCAATAATGTGTTATCGTAGTTCTTATCGAATAAAAATAATAATTCACAATAACAGTCCGAGAGATAGCTGAAAGACATGAAAAGTACAATCTAATCTTTCAGATTGTTAAAATAAATGTCAGATTTAAAGGTCGAATTTTAAAGGGTCTTTAGAAAACTTACATGAATATTTTTCGTTTTATGAAGAGAGAAAGCAATAAATATCAACTATCACTAACGTAATGTGACAATTCCCACTTAACAATTAAACTGTTACATAACACATGCGTTATATTTTCATTGTCGAGTGGAAAATTATAATATTGATGTGATGTTAACGTTAATTGGTGTTTAATGGGAAAGAACAGGAAATATAACTGAATGAACGCACAGAAAGGCGTAAAAGCTAAAAAAAAAATAAAATTTCGCGTTAAATTATATCTTTTAATCATTTTAATTGATTATGTTTAATTTATTTTTAAATTATATCTTCTTTCTTAAGGAGAAATGAAATTTCGCGTTGAATTACACAAAACAAAATTATATATATATTTTTTTGATTTTCAAATTTTCAGATCTTTAAAAAAATTATTTTCTCTGTATCTTTCGAAATCCGAATTATACAGAGGTCGCGGAAATTGCTTTCCGTTAGCTAGCTTTTGCACTTACTTCGATATCAGGTACATCCCTGCTCAACATCGCTAGTGACGTCATTTTTCACACAACTTATTATCGACTTGCGTTATTTATCCAGCAAATTATACGGACAGGATTTGCGCAGAAAACAGAATCCTTTAATCACAGCAGGTTAGAAAGTTGACAGAAAACTGAAACAACTCGCCTCAAGTTTATTTCAGAATAAAAGTTGCCGGGAAACTGACCATTCACTGCGGCATTCTTATCTACACTGATTGACTCAAGTATTTGAGTATATCAGCAATGACGTTGCACTATGAACTCGTGATCTACATTACACTGACATCAGCCAAAACAGCTCGTCTAAAGTACACTTAATAGATACTGAATGTACATATATAGTAGATTCATGTACACATATAATAGATGTATATCTACGCACATGTAATATACACATATAATAGATGTATATATATAATAGATACTGAATGTAATAGGTACTGAATGTACATTGTACATATAGGAAGCGATCTTCCCGTACGTACGATATTCTGAGGAAATTCCAGCTACACGATATTCTAATCTCACGATATTTTTATCGCTATTTTATTGTTTATTAGTCAGAAGAGACTGATTTTCTATCTGGATCAAACCGGCATCGTTAAATTTTGAAAATAATGCTCCATTTGTTTGCGTGGAAATTACTTCGAAAGCGGGAAGGACATTGGCGAGAGTCATCATCTTAGCGTGATGCTCGAAGTAAACGAGTTTTGAGTAATAAACTCGTTACTTGATTTATCGAATTGTAAACTCTAATTCACAGAGTTAAATAATAACTAGTTATTCAATTAAAAGTTACGTTAAATATTGAATAACTCTTAACTTGATTTAGTTAATTTTAAATGAGTTAACGTTGAACTTAAACTTAGTTAATTTAAAATGCATTAACTTGAATTTACTAACATTTTTTTATATAAGTTAAAATAATTCATCAATATCAAAATTATCACCTTCTTTCCGGGCTTCTTACAATATCAAATAAGAAAAATTAAAAATAATACCAGCAAAATTTTTTATCTCTTTGAGCGCTAGTGCTTTTTCTTACATGAAATCATTTTCTTTATTTAGCATAAATTTAATCTACGATTAAAAAATTAACTGTACAAAAAAGCATACATATATATGCATGGCTTTGCATAATTAACTATTAACTTTAATAAGTTAATTTAATATTAACTTAGCTTTTAATTAACCTAGTTTTAGTTTAGGTAACTTTTGACTTAACCAAGTTAATTTTATAGGCATTAACTTTTAATTTGATTCAGTTAAAAATAGAAATTAACTTGCCCAATTCCGTCCTTATCCATATTTGCGTGCAATCATCATCGAAGAAATGGAGCTGTTCATTTCAATTCATCAATCTACGAAACTGAATCGCATTGTGAGGACAATGGGAATTGTATTAAGTAGTCTTGCGCAATTATTGCTGATGTGGGCCTCATTATCAATACTGTTCCATTACCAATACAGGTCCTAGGTTATCGACCAATATAGCCGCTTGCCTACGGAGAAGGCCGTGCGATAAAAAAAAAAAAAAAAAAACATCGGTTGTCATAGATACATATAAGTGGTTAATGATGATAAATAAAGTTTTATTTGTGCTAACACAAAAAGTATATTGTGAGTTTATATATTAAAGTGGGATTCCTATTTTTAGTAAAAATAGGCCTACACTGATAGTAATTATATGTCGATTGCTTTCGTAATAGTGCACAATGAGAATCCCGAAAAGGGGCAACGACCTGATACGACGATAACAGAGTGATATGATTGATTACAAGTTACGGCTCAAGCGAGCTTATAATTTCCGTCTGAGGAATTGCGACGGAATTTCTCGCAAATTACAGGGCAGCGTCTGGCATTACGAGAGCGTCTTAATTTCATCGATTCCGGCATGCAATTCATGACATTCACGACATTCGTGATACATCGTATCCCTTCGTTTCCACAAATTGTCACTGGAATTAATATCGGAGCTGCGGGCTCTGAAACGTCGCATGACCGAAGATAGCCACGCACGAAGATAGTCTTACAAGTAACTTAGGTTCTCAAACGTTGAATATAACGCGTTACGTAAACTGTATATACTAAGTGCACTGGTGTGATAAATAAATAATCCTTCAAACCGAGCGGGGAGCATTTGTGAGGCTGCTTATCTTATTTTCAGTTTCGGGAGAGACGATGTCCTCCGATTATAAAGTAACAATTCTTCAAAAAGAACGAGGAAAAGCGATCGCGCCAAATTTTCATCTACAGGTGAGCCTGTCGATCGTTCACTTCTTGGGGACATGGCCACCACGTACGGGGAAGTATCGGTTTCTGTATTTGCTCTATACCACGGGTATTTTCACTTTAATGCTAGGTATCTTTCTCGTCACCGAAATAGCGAACATGCTCGTGAACTTGGGCGACACCGCGAAGATCGTCGCTGGGGCGACCCTGCTCATGACGAATTGCATCCACGCTTCCAAGGTAAACGTGGCCAATCTGACCGTCGACAAGATTTTGAGACAATTGATAAAAATATAAATAAAAAAATAAATAAATAAATAAATATATATATATATATATATATATATATATATATAT